CTGCAGCCATTTTCTATGGAGAGAACTGTAAGATCCATTGAGCACATTAGTTTACCTGTTCTTTTCATGTACATCATACTCATGAGCAGGTAATAACCAATCATCTAACACCTATTTTCACTCACACCTAAACCATCTCAGGTTGAAGGTGTGACCATTTTTAAATGGCTTCTGTTGGTAGAAGCCTGTATTTATGTTACGGAAATGTTCCTACTGGACATGTTAAAACTGAGTATTGAGACTAACTACTTAATCTGCATAAATATCTTAATGATTGCTTCCGCAAATCTTGGCTGTCTCCTGAAAAGGCAGCTTACCTGTAGATCAAACAAAACATCAAATGAAAATAATGCAGAATACAGCTTAGGATGAGTGTCAGTGAAGAAGCAATGTGCAAAATGAACCTTGTCTAGAGTTGCCCCAGATTAGACATTGACTAGATCACTAGAGGACAGAAACAACAACAGAGCCATAATGCCTGAAATATACAGCTTTGATATTCAAGCAAGAAAATCAGGCTACCTCTCTGTTCTTGTCACACAGTATTGTCAACACATTATTGTCATACTAATATTGGACTCTCTGAAAGCGGGAAAATAATAATAAAATAAAAAGGCTGTGATACAAGTGCACACAACTTTTCTAGCTAAAATGGCCAATTAGAATAACATAATCAATTCATGTCATATCTCCCCTTTAAAAAGTTGCATCTTCTTTCACAAAACAATGGAATACAAGCTAAGTTTAAAATCCTGACTAGTTAAGAAACATGATTGGATTTCACAGCCTTAATCATGTCTTTTATGGGACATCTCACCTTGGCAGTGAGTTTCAGACCATGTAGCTAATACTGTTCATCTAGTTTTGATGACCTTATGTTTCAAAAGACTTCTTAATAATACGTAAAGCACATTTCATAGCAATAGGCCACAGTTAAATAAGACACACTTTCACATGCTAAAGTGTGATGACAGGCATTTGTACCTGATCCAATAAACACAGGTCACCAAAATGTCACAACAACTGCCTGATGCAATCTTGCTATTAATCATGATATGGAGTTTACAAGTTTGTCTCCATGGCTTTCTCTTAACAACACCAGAAACTGATATAATAATATATCTGCACTCTATCCCACTCTAGATACATATCCTACCATGGCCATTTTTTCTTGAATATCAAAGTAAAGTCAGATCATATCAGTCCACATTCTTCTTCCCTTGTTTTTTCCATTTGCACTGAGTTCTAAGAATGGGATAGAATTCTTGTGGTTATGCATGCAAGGCAGCCATACTATCACTTATATAAAGATCATTAATACTGTAGTAGGAAAACAAAGTATGGAATACTTTAGACATATATAGACACATACACTGATTGTCTGTTAAGACCAACCACCAGCTATACTCCATGACACAAACACACTTATGCAAGCACACAAGTTAGCACTCACATGCAAAATTGGATCACACACGCACAAACTCCCACCCACACAAAAAAGCAAACTGAGTGAAAATCTGGTTGCAACCAAGCAGATGTCTTATACAGGAGTATGCCAAGAGACATCTTGCAAATAGCTGCATACAACAGCTCAACTGTTTCCCAGCTTCTTCAGTATCATCAGCAGTGGAAAATGGAGGTTATCGTTGTAGTGTGGGTCTTGTGCACACTGCAAGGAAAAAGTACATACATTTTATGGATAAATTCAAATCCTTCTCTCTCTCATGATAAAAAAGACAAGAATCTCACAAGATAAAAATGCCTCTAGAGAATCACAATTACCTTTCGGACATGATCATCCACGATGCCGTCGTACTTTTCAACCACAACAACTCTGAAGTGTGGTCTACACATGGAGGCAAACATCTGGAAGGTTCCACTACGTGCAGGAGCAACAACAAGTGCTGTTCCACCAGGCCGCAGTACAGCAAGCAGGCTGTACAGGAGACTCTCTCTTCCCTCATCAAAGAACAAGCTGCAAGATTTGAGATGAGCAACACATATTTCTCTGACAAGAAAACTTCACAATTTTTGAATATACATTGAACAGAATAGTTTTTTTTACCTTAAGTAAAAGAAAGAAAGAATAAAAAAAGAAAGAAATCTTATATACTTGTATTATTATTCATAGTTAGATAAAATCTTGTTTTCTTAAATCTTCCATCAACTATTATATAATATATACATATATATATATATATATATATATATATATATATATATATATATATACATATATACATATATACATATATACATATATATATATATATATATATATATATATATATATATATATATATATATACATATATACATATATACATATATACATATATACATATATACATATATACATATATACATATATACATATATACATATATACATATATACATATATACATACATACATACATACATACATACATACATACATACATACATACATACATACATACATATATATATATATATATATATATATATATATATATATATATATATATATATATATATATATATATATATATATATATATATATATATATATATATATATATATATATATATATATATATATATGTATATATATATACATATATGTATAGATATATATACATATATGTATATATATATATATATATATATATATATATATATATATATATATATATATATATATATATATATATATATATATATATATATATAAATGAACAGGTAAAAAACAAAAAGAAGGAAAGAGGAGCCCAAAAGAATGTAAATAATCAACAAACCAAAAAGCATGATTAAACATCAGCAAGCAGGAAAACAAAATGATACAAATTATACATAAATAAAGAGGAGGGAAATATTACTAATGTCAAGTCCAATGGATGGATGGAACAGCACACAGCAACCTGTTTCAGTTGTGGTGCTCTCGATAAACAGATCTAAATTTGGCAGGAATAACATCAACAGCATTATCATCATCATTATCATCATGACTATCAGTTGTTATCATCAGGAACATAATACAACCATTACACATACACATTATTAACTACCTAAAGAGAAAGCAAAAGATGAAGAGAAAAAAGTGGGGGGAAATGACAATCACTCTGATAATGCTGATGATAAATCACAACAATAATAAACAATATCAACAACAACTGACACAATAATCATCACATCAACAACAACCATGTAATGACAGTGACACATTGGACTAGTAAAGGCCACTGATGTCACAAACAACCACTTGGGTACTAAAATAATTATCCTGAATATATCAGTCTCATCCAGTTAGGATGCATGAATAACCTACATGATTAACAACTCTATCATCTGTTCAGCTCAAAAGACTCCATGGTGAATACTAGAGCTTCCGAGAATCTTGCACAATAACACTTTATCATAGAGGAAATATCTAATACTCATGCTTTTGAGTTTATCCCATGTGAACATTTCTGTCTGTTTCTATTAGTTGTCTAGGCACTATTGTAAGACTGCTTGGATGATGTAGCTTTAAACTCTTTACAAGACCAAGTAGTTATCAAGGTAGATTTCATCATAGTCAGCCAGAATCTATATAAGGACAAAATACTGCTTTGGGAACATTTTCAATACATTTGTCCCATTGCTGCCTTGGTGACACCTAAGGCTTGAGCTTTAAATCTGGTCTGAACAGATGCACAAGAATTAGTATTAAAAAAATGCCTATACATATTTTAGATAACTGGATGTACTCATACTTCATCCAGTTTCTCACTAAGGCTTAAAGATTTTAATGATAATTACAATTATCACTCACAGCAAGGCCATTTTGTAACAAGTACTCAAGGACCTAAATGACAGTAAAAATTCCTTCAGCATAGTGCATGGTCCTCTTAGCACACTAAGTTAACTATGCATGACTGAACATAATTTTGTCCTTGCATATTCACTAAGTCAGCAGATTTCCTAAAAAAAAAAATATTTGTTGCCATTACACTAAGGAGTAATTAGAAATTCAAATACATATTCAATTCAGTTCTGCAGCCATTTTCTATGGAGAGAACTGTAAGATCCATTGAGCACATTAGTTTACCTGTTCTTTTCATGTACATCATACTCATGAGCAGGTAATAACCAATCATCTAACACCTATTTTCACTCACACCTAAACCATCTCAGGTTGAAGGTGTGACCATTTTTAAATGGCTTCTGTTGGTAGAAGCCTGTATTTATGTTACGGAAATGTTCCTACTGGACATGTTAAAACTGAGTATTGAGACTAACTACTTAATCTGCATAAATATCTTAATGATTGCTTCCGCAAATCTTGGCTGTCTCCTGAAAAGGCAGCTTACCTGTAGATCAAACAAAACATCAAATGAAAATAATGCAGAATACAGCTTAGGATGAGTGTCAGTGAAGAAGCAATGTGCAAAATGAACCTTGTCTAGAGTTGCCCCAGATTAGACATTGACTAGATCACTAGAGGACAGAAACAACAACAGAGCCATAATGCCTGAAATATACAGCTTTGATATTCAAGCAAGAAAATCAGGCTACCTCTCTGTTCTTGTCACACAGTATTGTCAACACATTATTGTCATACTAATATTGGACTCTCTGAAAGCGGGAAAATAATAATAAAATAAAAAGGCTGTGATACAAGTGCACACAACTTTTCTAGCTAAAATGGCCAATTAGAATAACATAATCAATTCATGTCATATCTCCCCTTTAAAAAGTTGCATCTTCTTTCACAAAACAATGGAATACAAGCTAAGTTTAAAATCCTGACTAGTTAAGAAACATGATTGGATTTCACAGCCTTAATCATGTCTTTTATGGGACATCTCACCTTGGCAGTGAGTTTCAGACCATGTAGCTAATACTGTTCATCTAGTTTTGATGACCTTATGTTTCAAAAGACTTCTTAATAATACGTAAAGCACATTTCATAGCAATAGGCCACAGTTAAATAAGACACACTTTCACATGCTAAAGTGTGATGATAGGCATTTGTACCTGATCCAATAAACACAGGTCACCAAAATGTCACAACAACTGCCTGATGCAATCTTGCTATTAATCATGATATGGAGTTTACAAGTTTGTCTCCATGGCTTTCTCTTAACAACACCAGAAACTGATATAATAATATATCTGCACTCTATCCCACTCTAGATACATATCCTACCATGGCCATTTTTTCTTGAATATCAAAGTAAAGTCAGATCATATCAGTCCACATTCTTCTTCCCTTGTTTTTTCCATTTGCACTGAGTTCTAAGAATGGGATAGAATTCTTGTGGTTATGCATGCAAGGCAGCCATACTATCACTTATATAAAGATCATTAATACTGTAGTAGGAAAACAAAGTATGGAATACTTTAGACATATATAGACACATACACTGATTGTCTGTTAAGACCAACCACCAGCTATACTCCATGACACAAACACACTTATGCAAGCACACAAGTTAGCACTCACATGCAAAATTGGATCACACACGCACAAACTCCCACCCACACAAAAAAGCAAACTGAGTGAAAATCTGGTTGCAACCAAGCAGATGTCTTATACAGGAGTATGCCAAGAGACATCTTGCAAATAGCTGCATACAACAGCTCAACTGTTTCCCAGCTTCTTCAGTATCATCAGCAGTGGAAAATGGAGGTTATCGTTGTAGTGTGGGTCTTGTGCACACTGCAAGGAAAAAATACATACATTTTATGGATAAATTCAAATCCTTCTCTCTCTCATGATAAAAAAGACAAGAATCTCACAAGATAAAAGTGCCTCTTGAGAATCACAATTACCTTTCGGACATGATCATCCACGATGCCGTCGTACTTTTCAACCACAACAACTCTGAAGTGTGGTCTACACATGGAGGCAAACATCTGGAAGGTTCCACTACGTGCAGGAGCAACAACAAGTGCTGTTCCACCAGGCCGCAGTACAGCAAGCAGGCTGTACAGGAGACTCTCTCTTCCCTCATCAAAGAACAAGCTGCAAGATTTGAGATGAGCAACACATATTTCTCTGACAAGAAAACTTCACAATTTTTGAATATATATTGAACAGAATAGTTTTTTTTACCTTAAGTAAAAGAAAGAAAGAATAAAAAAAGAAAGAAATCTTATATACTTGTATTATTATTCATAGTTAGATAAAATCTTGTTTTCTTAAATCTTCCATCAACTATTATATAAATATATACACACATATATATATATATATATATATATATATATATATATATATATATATATATATATATATATATATATATATATATATATATATATATATATATACATATATATATATATATATATATATATATATATATATATATATATATATATATATATATATATATATATATATATATATATATATATATACACACATATAAACACGCATACACATTTTTATAAAATAAAAAATACATATCATTACAGGAAAACATCATATTATTTTGGATGGAGAAAGGTGAGAAATTGGATGGGAGAAGAGAGAAGGGAAAAAAGTGAAGGAGAAAGTGAGAGCAGGAGAGGGAAAAAGAGGGAACAAAGAAAAAACAAAAGAAAGAAAGAGAAAGCTATGCTGCAAAGAGGCACTCTGCTTCAAGTTCTTAAACAGGTCAGCTTCTTATAATAATGCCAGGACAATGCAGCAACATCAGATTATCATAAGACAGTATCTATATACAAACCAAAGAAGTTAACAAGAAACAAGGGAAGAAAAACTGAAAATAAAACAAACATATCCACCCTTTCCAATAAAATCAAAAGGACTGCAAGGAAGGAATATCTATAATAAAGAGATATTGAAACAATAAAAAAGAATAATAATAAATTAAGAATAAAATAAACAAATATAAATAAATAAAAGAATAAAAGTCAATAAATAAATAGCATTACAGACACAAATTACAGGAAAAAGTTTATTATCTAGAAGAAAAGGAAAGAAACAAAAAAAATTTTTTTTTTTTACAAAACACACTAGTAAAACAAAAAGAAAATCTACAAAACACACTAAAAGTCAGGACTTATTAGTACCTAAATGCTAATAAAAAGTTAAATATTCTAAAAAACTCATTGTCACCACTTGGTTCTTGGTATGTATGTATGCATATTATGTATGTAAGTATGTATGTATGTATGTATGTATGTATGTATGTATGTATGTATGTATGTATGTATGTATGTATGTATGTATGTATGAATGTGTGTATGTATATATATATATATATATATATATATATATATATATATATATATATATACATATACATATATATATATATATATATATATATATATATATATATATATATATATATATATATATATATATGTATGTATATGCATGTAGGTATGTATGTATATGTATATAAGCATATATATACTGTATGTATATATATATATATACACATACATATATATATATATATATATATATATATATATATATATATATATATATATATATATATATATATATATATATATATATATATATATAGATATATAGATATATAGATATATAGATATATATATATATATATATATATATATATATATATATATATATATATATATATATATATATATATATATATATATATATATATATATATATATATATATATATATATATATACATATTACAAACACAAATATTGCCATTAACATTAAAAGCAAACAATAAATATATGTAAACAGTTTTCTGCAAATTCTAAATCTAAAATCCTTGAAGCCATGACATTAGCAATCATACAGAATAAAAGTTATTAGACAAAAGAGAGAGAACAGATATGTACGAATTCTCAACTTGACCAAAAGCAAACTACAAATGTTAAAATGTTCATCAAAATAAAAACAATTAGTATCAATCCAATAATTCACTATGAATATTTCCAATCCATTTTGATTTGCAAAATTCTGCAGTTATTTCCAGAATGGAGAAGTTGTGGTAATATAAACAATTACATCATCTCAGAAATGCAGCGAAAATAGGCACAATATGCAATGGAAAACATCATCAAAACAAGCCTAAAATGCACAGACTATAACAGAGAAGCAGACAGTGATACATCATACCTGTTCTTCAGTACAGGCTAACTTTTATGATAGTAATAAAAGAGACGTGCAGTTCAACAATCAAAGCTGTCCACTGCAAGTAATCTACATCCACTTCTTGCTCACCCTATCTATCACAATATGTCAATTAAGGATAAAAACAGGTTAAAAAATCAAAACACAAGAGCTACACAAATAATGTAGTAACACTTGAACACAACCAAGTAATAAAAATTAATTTAGCAATAAAACCAGAACAATAAAATAAAACAACACCAACTGTCAGTCACACACCAAAACTACATTTATAAGCTTCTCATGAGACATGAAAGCCTTTGAATAGGATAGTTTACCAAACAGGAAATGAAATAGCACTGTCTTCTTGCTCTCTCCTATTTACCACCACAAAAGACCTACCAATCAGCACACATCGCAATATCGAACTTTCCCCGAAGCGGTGACACCTCTTCCTGGACTCCCCAGCGCAGAACTCTGGAAATGAGATTGCCAAACGATTTCCTTATTTGGAGTCTGGGTCAGCTCTTCCATCTGACCTTATCCCTTAGCCCTTGACCTCTGATGACATGACTTGGGGAAATAATACAAGTCTAATGACATCCTAAGTTCTTCCTACAGGTTTACTGTGCAAGATTGGCAAGTAAGCTACAGGGTAAAAAGAAAGTAAGAACGAAAAATCTAGAATAATTTATCTATACATGTATGTACTTTACATGTGTGAAGGCAAATGTGTCAAAGCATTGCATGTGTTTATACATCTTGATTTGTGCATGAACCCATGTACTAATTTGAAAGTGCAAATGACTATGGATGAGGCTCTATGAGTGTATTGTGTGTGTGATGTCTTTTAATTCACATAATACAACCAAGTGTTCCTAGTTCCAGTATCTATACTTGTGAAAAATCTATTCAAGTAGTACCCTATGCATCCTAGCTATCTTGTTTACAAAATTACCATCCCTAAATAGTTTACAAGAATGTGAAACTTGCCTGGCGGTGGTCTCTGTGGGCAAGTCATTGCGTTCTAAGGACACTTGAACATTGTTGACAGATATCGCATTACCATCAGTCAGTACCATCTTTGCTGCAACTCCACTTGCTGCCACCTGAAACCCACAGGGAAATTACCATTTTATATATATATATACAGACACACACACACACACACACACACACACACACACACACACACATACACACACACACACACACTCACACACACACACACATACACACACACACACACACACACACACACACACACACACACACACACACACACACACACACACACACAAACACACACACAAACGTATGTATCTATGTATGTATGATTGTATGTATATATGTATGTATGTATGTATGTATGTATGTATGTATGTATATATGTATATATGTATATATATGTGTGTATATATATATATATATATATATATATATATATATATATATATATATATATATATATATATATATATATATATATATACACACACACACACATATATGTATGTATATATACATATATATGTATATATATATGTATATGTATATGTATATGTATATGTATATGTATATGTATATACATATACATACATCTCCCTCCCCCTCTCCCTCTCCTTCCCTCCCTCCTTCCCCCTCCCTCCCTCTCTCTAAATATATATATATATATGTGTGTGAGAGAAAGAGAGAGGGAGAGAGAGGGAGGGAGAGAGAGGGAGGGAGAGAGAGGGAGGGGGAGAGAGGAAGGGAGGGAGAGAGACAGAGGGAGAGAGAGGAAGGGAGGGAGAGAGAGGAAGGGAAAGAGAGAGAGGAAGGGAAAGAGAGGGAGCAAGAGAGAGGGAGAAAGAGAGATAGAGGGAGAAAGAGAGAGAGAGAGGGAGAGAGAGGGAGAGAGGAGAGGAGAGAGAAAGGGACAGAGAGAGAGAGGGAGAGAGAGGGAGAGAGGAGAGGAGAGAGAAAGGGACAGAGAGAGAGAGAGAGGAGAGGATAGAGAAAGGGATAGAGAGAGAGAGAGAGGAGAGGAGAGAGAAAGGGACAGAGAGAGAGAGAGGAGAGGAGAGAGAAAGGGACAGAGAGAGAGAGGAGAGAGAAAGAGATAGAGAGAGAGAGGAGAGGAGAGAGAAAGGGACAGAGAGAGAGAGGAATGGAGAGAGAAAGGGACAGAGAGAGAGAGAGAGGAGAGGAGAGAGAAAGGGACAGACAGAGAGAGGAGAGGAGAGAGAAAGGGACAGAGAGAGAGAGGAGAGGAGAGAGAAAGGGACGGAGAGAGAAAGGGACAGAGAGAAAGGACAGAGAGGAAAAAAGAAAAAGCTAACGAAAAACAACTGCACTAGGAATATCACTTACGAGCATCCCTGCAAGGCAAGTCATTCCCCCCCCCAGCTCCAAGACGGACTTCCCAGAGAAGATGTGCAAGTTGCTGAGGCAGTAGTAGGTCAGGATCTCTTCCGAGGGCCAAATGCCTAGGGGATGCAACGGCAATATTAGCATACTGTAGCATAAGCTTGTCTTTCATTCTCAAAAAAGTGAGAAAAAGGGAAGATAATAAAAAGAAAACTGTATAATCACTATTTGTTTTATTGGTTTGAAATCTACAATTTAAACTACTGGAAATGTCTATAAAATGTTAAACATTTTAGAATAAAAAGTAGAAAATATATTAATTCAAAGTCTAAATAATCAGATTTTAAAATATGATATAACAATTAAAGATGATTTAATTCATTTTAAAGTCTTAAAAACAAAGTATATATTATGCTTTAAAGTACATAAAATACTTCTACTGAAAGCAATTACCAACTTATATATGTTCAGAAAAAAATATAGCACTGAAACAATCTGACTCAAGCTTTCTTTGACCTCATTACAACAAAAATGTTCAAAAGATAAAAGAAAATAATCAAGAATTGCTTCTTCCATGCTGCACTAAGGGTGGAGAGCTGGGAGAATCACTGCTGAACACAGGACATGCAAATTATCAATAATGCTGTCACTGGACTGAAAGGCAAGAGTACTCACTGTTGTGTTTCTTATTTGAGCAGCATTTCATATTAATAGATTTTAGACCACGTCTTTCTGGACCCTTCTAGGGGTCATACTGCATACAAAGAGGCATACATACACAAGAACAAAATGTTTACTTGTATACATGCACATGCACACTCACATGCATGCTCACTTAAACACAATTATACTAACATACACACACACACACACACACACACACACACACACACACACACACACACACACACACACACACACACACAAAATCAATATAAACATCAGTGATATGCTAAAGAAACAAAGATCCAGAGTTTAAAATTATAGTTTTCAGAAAAAGAAAATGTGAAAAAATATAGTTTTGCTTTTTCAACTACTCATAAAAAGGCATAATAAAATAATCCATTTTTTTCTGCACGTTTTCATAAGCTTTCCAGTAGTATATATACTTGTGTAGATGTGTTCATTTAAGTGTTTTTACCAAAGGAGAAGCTATGTGTAACATATAATTTCCATTGGTTCCTAATGCATGTGTACTTGAGTGTTTAAAAGTGTGTACATGTGTACACAAAGTGCATTTATCTATATACACTAGAATTTTATTTATTTATTTACTTTTTTTTGTCAGTCATTTCTATGGTGTAAATACCAAAGTTGAACTATATCTACCACAATATTTTAGAAAGCAAACTTAAAGGTTATGTGCTTACATATCATATTTCTTCCTTTACGTTACTGTAAATCACTTGCCTTGGGAGGACTCACTTATCAATGCACTCCTCTAGTCTTCTGTCGTCTATTTCAGAGAGTTAGAGAGCTAGGAGGAAGAGGAATTATTGGGAAATGGAGGTGTGTGTATATGCTATACTTTACAAAAAGAATTATATCTAATACTTAGTGCACTCATTTTATTGTTATAAGATGTGCCATGAAAGAAAGGGATAGGTCTCAGGAGGTGGGTTGTTGTGCAAGTAATTCCTTTCGGTTTCTTCCAGCTACCCCCCCCAAAAACAAAACAAAACAAAAAAAACTTGCCAAACAGTACCAGAAGAACTTACTCACACTCCCTACCTCCAACTGACAGAGAAGAAATCAAGGAAAAGATCCTAGCTAAGTTTGGTCAAATCAGCTTGAAGAATGTCAAAAGAACTAATATACTCTATCTGGCAGAATCAGACTTCACTGGCATTTATTAGCTTCATATTCTATTTATGCATTCTTATGGTTAAAATGGGTTATCAAAGAATACCACTATTCATAGTTACTTGTAAACAGTAATTCTATTGAATTCCAAAGACACTAAAGCATGGATAATAGATATTAATTTTCCTTTCAAGTGATCTGACTCTTTCAATTATGTCTCTTGCATTAATTAAAACACTGTGTTTATTATGCTGCTTATTTTTATAGGAAACTGACTTCACAGTAAAACTATATTAATATGCTCATTCACCAATGTTTTGAACTAACAGTCAAAATGATTCAGGCACCTGGTCATACAGTATTTCAAGTTGCACATAATTCCCCTCTGTAACTAAAGATATCACACACACACGTATGCATGCATGCACGCACATATGCACGCACACATGCACACGTGTACACACGCATACACGCACACACATACGCACACAAACACACACACACACACAAAATTCTGTATAGAGTACTGGTAAGCAACTCTGTGCCATTAACTGGACACTTAAAAGATTGTATTTGATATATACAATAAATGTAAAAAGGAAAAAAGAATATGAAATTGTAAGTGAGAGTGAGAGTGAGAGAGAGAGAGAGAGAGAGAGAGAGAGAGAGAGAGAGAGAGAGAAAGAGAGAGAAAGAGAGAGAAAGAGAGAGAAAGAGAGAAAGAGAGACAAAAATACATCTTAACGAACAAACAGACACAACTGAGGCAGACTGCTCTCCTGGTCATACCAAGTGCCCTCCCATCCTTCCTTTCCTTGAAGCAACCTACTCATGACGCACTCTACTTTGGCCCCTGCTGCATCCACTTAGCCTTTGTGACATTCATGCTATAGATACCTTTCATGTTTATTGTTTATGTTTATTTTAGTCAGAGAATATTGGGATGCACTGCTTGGAGGAACACCCTGGCACATCACATATACCAAGCCGGATAGAGCAAGAGGTAAGATTTATATAAAGGGGTAAAAAAACAAAACAAAAAACAAGGGGAAAAATTAAGAAAAAGGAAACCAGAAAAAGCTATTT